AAGCACTATTCGTCATGATTGATGATTCGTCACCATTGAACTAAAAATAACTGGAACGATACCTCCAATCGGAAATGTGAAGCCATGCCCAGGCATGCCCACTGTTGTCATGCCCAGTCTTTTCACGTAACGGAAATGAACGCGGGTTTTTTAAATTTCCAAAACTGGGTAAAAAAATGCACTAAAACATGGTTTAAGACGACGTAAAATGCACCTACCAGTACATTTTTTACAATAAAAACATCCTTCAAAACTCTAGAGTAAAATATTTTTAATTTATTTGTGTAGAATTCGTAATTAAATTTCGTTTTTTGAGAAAAAACGTTGAGCCAGGAGTGGAGCTTGCCGTGGTCTAATCATAAGTATTTGTGTGAAATTCCCTATTTTGCTCGTTCGTTTTCCAATTTATTCGTCTGAAAGTTAGGAAAAAGGTATTCTAACAAGTTCAAACTACCATCCACAGTTTAATTATGTTTTGTAGTAGAGTATTTATTAAGTTTTAAAAGTACAAAATAACAAATATAAACATTAAAGTTTTTTTTCGCGAATAAGTATTTCATGTTGCGATTATTCACATTCGGCAAGAAATACAAAGAAAAAGTGGTCAACGAAGGCAAACAAAGTGATAGATACAGATTAAATAAACTTGTCTTGTTTAACAATCAATGAAGTTGTTATAAATACATATTTAATAAGTTTATAAGATAAAGAATTACTTATCTTTCTCAAGTGTCATCTGCATATAAACGTTCCAGTCATTCAAATATGCACTTGTTGTCTCCAATCGGTTACTTTCGTCCTTGCAATTTTAGTCGGTAGGGTTCAAGATATGTTTTAAATGCACTTCTAATACAAAAATATAGCTTAAAACCCTAAATAAACGACAATTTTCGACCCATTCGCCCAAGAAAAACATTCAAGTCACTGCCGAAATGGTCTCGCGAGAATGTCTCGCAACACAAACGCGCGTGTCTGGAGGTAGAACACGCGCGGCTGGAGGTAAAATTTGGCTTCATCCGATCATAAGCCAAACCTATTGGAGGTAGCGTTCCAGGTATTTTTAGTTCACTGTTCGTCACTCAGCAAGTACCGTAAACAGAAGCAGCCCCCCCCCAAGAGGTCGCCCCCCTGGTTATGATGCGCTAGCGCTTATAACGTTTGGTACAACTGGCCTGAAACTTAATATATTGATTCAATAAGTTTAATATCAATATATTTATTGAAAATTGGCTATTATGTCAAAATAAGAAAACTTTAGATTATCACGCGAAAAGGCAATGTTTTTATGAGCAACTGTTCATCGTTAGTTGCAGGCGACGGTAATATAAACAAGGTCAAGGTTTTATCGAAAGCTATTGACTGTTAGATTTCCTTTACTATTTTATAACTAAATAATGTTATTTCCTACAAATTTAGCTTTATTGTAGCCTTATTGAAAGTATAAAAAAAAACATGGAAACGGTGAATTACTACAGATTGAAAATAATTGTTAGACTACGATTGAAATTATCGACGTAGAATGCTATTTCGTTGTAATTTCAATAGTATTAATGAGAATTTTGTTTGTTATTTATAAATATTTCATGTTATTTACAAAATTTACAGTAGTTTTGAAGTTTTGCACACAATATAATCAATGCGAGCACAATAACTCCACTTCAGTTTGAGTATTATATTTAAATTTAGTATTTTGATAGCGTGCATGCATGGCCTTTCACGCTATATTACGCCTGATAAATAATCAGTGCGAGCACAGCGGCTCCAAAATCACAACAAAATAACAGAATATAAAGTAAATATAAAACAGCAAAGCTTTACCTACCTCGATGTATTTTTCTAAGGCGCTCGATTATGTAAATTTTCTGCGAATCTTTGCATTTGCTCGACGAAAACCATGGAAGAAAACGTGCACACAATTCAAAATTTATAATTATGCTTATTGTTATTATGCTCGTCCCACGTGATCTGCCGCAAGTTTCACCACCAACGGACACGAAATTTTAAGCTATATGATAGTTGCATGCCATATATGGGCATGCAACAAAAACTGTAAACTAGAAGTTACTATCGCAAGGCAAGTGCTGCCTTAGAACCAAAGTCCTGGGGATTGATTATACCAATAAACTTTATTAATTTAAATTGCTTTATAATGAATTTATTTCATTAATTTAAATTGCCTTATAATGAATTTATTTTATTCAAAAAAGTATCGAAATTACAACATGCAATAATCACTAGATACTGTAAAGGAATTTTATATTTATACAATGTCATGTTATTTCTTGGTGCCAATATTTCAAATTGGCATTAAATAGAGATCAAAGGGATCCACAGAATTCACATATTTTAAAATGTTCGTACAACTTGAAATACTGACAACTTTAGGTAAAGTTAACTACGGATAAAAATTCGACACCAGGTTCTAAGACAACTAAGCCATATATATTACCCAGAGATTGCAAGTACATTATGTCTCGTTGTATTACTAAGACATTATTCAATGTTGTTTTTGAGCAATCAATCAGTCCGATCACAAGGATATTTTGGACAGTTAAACCTGCCGATATTATTCATAAAAAGCACATTGTTTGCCTCTAGATTGAACCCTAAAAAGGTCATCACATTGATGTATTTTAGAAGAAAGAAATGGAGCCATACTTGCCTGAATTTTCTCGAATATTTTCGATCTCTTGCATTTGTATTTAGAAGCTTCAAAAATCTTGAGCACATGGGCATACGTTTGCAATACAAAATATTGTTTTAACCGCTCCCCTCACTTAACAAACGTTCCTGAAGCTTTATTATTTCGCCCGGAATATGACATTTTTACAGACAAACAGACACACAATCGAGATCTCGACGCAGCATGATCTCTTCCCAAAATTAATGCTATGTCTTAATTGTAAAAAGCGTTAAAATTAATACATTGCCTCAATTTGAACCCCAACCCCCACTCTAACCTCTATCCCCGACGATACATAGATCGCGCGAAAGACTGGGTTGAGAGGACTATGGAGAAACCACCACGTGTCAGGAATAGTGGGCTGCCTCGCTGCGCCCTAGCTTATATTTCGTCTTTGTCTTCTTTACTTGAACATAAATAAGAGCTCAGAGAATATTAACTTTCACGTTGTTTCTTTAGTTTTTGTGTAATTAAAATTTCTGCACTCACGTGACAATGCGGAATGGACGCGGGCTCGTATTCGTTCCGATTAATCTTTAATCGGTATACAGTTTTTAGTGTGAAGTTTCTTCGAAACTTCACAGTATTGTGATGACTGGGGGGGGGGGGAATTCAAACGAAACAGTCAGTCAGTCATACAGTAAACTTTCCGGGGGGTGTATACGGTATATCTTCGTAGTGATTTCACGTACTTAGTCTGTGCTTTGAAGGTTATTTAGGCAATTTCAGTTGTCTTATTTAAATATTCTTTAGGCCTTTTACCAAGTTTTGCCAAATTTACAAAAAATTCGAGGAATTGTTGTCGTTATTGTAAATTTTATAACATGCGTTTCTCATGTTGTGTAAAGGATCTTTACCCCGGAACACCCGATTTTTTCTTTAGCAGCGCAAATGCGCATGCTCTATATCAGGCGCTAAGCCGCAGATTACGATGTCAGGAAGGAGCGACAGAATGCCCACGTGAATATTGAGAAAATACTGTAAATCTTTGAGAATCTATAGAAATATATAAATTGATGTTATGCATTAGGTCTATATCAATCAAGTGCCAATATTATTTAGACGGTAATAGACGGTATAGCCATTTAGATACACAGCTAGGAAGAACTAGACAGTGCTTTTTTCAAATGTATAAACATTTCAGACGTAAATATTGAGAAAATCTTTGAGATTCTACCCAATATATAAGTTGTATTTATGCATTACGGGCATTCAATTAAGTGCCGATATTATTCTGACGGTAGCTATATTCTTTATACAGAGCTAGGAAAGAGCGAGACAGTGTTGTTTTCGCTGAATGTATAAATATTTCAGGCCTGAATATTGATGTTTATGCATTACGGGCATTAATATTTATTAAGTGCCGATATTATTTATATTGTATATTCATTTATGTATAGCATATAGCGACTTTTGCAGAATAGATCTGAGAGGCTGTAGTCAGTACACTGAAACCACATAATCTTGTAATTGTAAATGTAAATATATTCAATGAAAAATATATTCTGAAACCACACATACAGCACGTGTCAAGCATGATTGATTGATTGATTCTAAATTAGTCTAGGACCTGTATATGAGTTTGTATGCATTTCATTTAGGACAGATAATCTCAACTGTTTTAGGGTAAGTTGACCATGACGGTCAACATGGTAACGCTGCCCGAACCCCAATCCGGGGCGAAATGTCCGAAACTGACCACACCCAAAAACGACGCTTTCGCCATACTGCTATCTACCAAACCATAAAAACTTTGGCTATTCTGAGGTGCTTATATGGTTCAGAGATGGTACTTTTGGGGGTGGTCATTGGTAAGTGTGAAATGCCAAGCACTAATATTTCACAAGAAAATGGCCATGCAATAATCATAGTTAAACGTCAATTTGTGGCTTGCAAAGTCAGATAAACAGCAGTGGACTTACATTACCTTTTTTCCTAAATCTTTTTGATAGAAACATAAATGGTACTTATTTAAATATATTATCACTGGTTTGGTGTAAAATAGTTAATATTTTCTGACCGAAATAATAATTTGAAATGTGCCTACTTCCTGCAAATGGACGTATTTGGCCAAGTTCTCCACTTTACTCCGCTGTTTATCGGCGATCTCGTCGACATCCTACAAAAAATGTAAATCATCTCAGACATGATGTTATCAAGAACATTTTAAACAAGTTTCAACTTGGTTTCAAGTAAATCATACCTGTTTAACCATCGACAAGGTAAATCCACAACTTTGTCCAAATTCGGCGCCATTGCAACATACAAAAAATTAAATCTTAAAAGGGTCGCGGAATTGTCAAAATTGTCAAATATTATGTACAAGCAGAACTATTCGGAAAGAGTTAAAGACACTCAAAAAAGGCAATATAGTAAAAGAAAGTTAGATTGTAGTGAAAATGGAACTAAGATGGTTAAATACAAGAAAGTAGAAGATAATTTAAATGACAATTCATGTGAAGCTCTGCAGATACCTGGTAACTCTGATGATTCGAGACAACAAATCGACGTAACAAAGGCAATTGAGTTATTTCATAAGAACATTAGTGTTGGGCCAGAATATATTTGCACCTGTTGCGACCAATTATGGTATAGATCATCTGTCACTGAGTGCAATGTTTCTTTATATAAATCTTGTTCAAAAGAAATACTTAATTTATGTCTTACTGGTCTGAAAAGCATTGATAATACTGAATGGATATGTGGTACATGTCACTCAAACTTAAAAGTTGGTAAACTTCCTAGTTGCGCAAAGGCAAATAAAATGACTTTCCCTGAAAAGCCCGAGGTCTTAAAAAATTTAACACCTCTTGAAGAAAGACTAATTTCGCCGAGAATACCTTTTATGCAGGTACGGGAATTACCTAGTGGAGGTCAATTAAGTATTCATGGGAATGTAGTTAATGTTCCTGCTGATGTTAACACAACTGTTAGTGTTTTACCAAGACCAATTAACGAGTCACAAACTATTCCAATAAAATTGAAACGACGGCTTGGTTATAAACACCATTATCAATTTCAGAACGTTAGACCTACGAAAGTTTTAGATGCAGCTCAATACTTGGTTCGCACTAGTGAAATATTCAAGAACGAAGGAATACAAGTAATGGATAATTATGTGTCAAATCCAATCAATAAGGACGAAGAGTGGTCAGAATTTATTGCCAAGAATACTAAGGAAACTTCAGATAATCTGTCAAACGATTTGAATATTCAAAATCAAGAAACAGTGGAGACACGAGTAAGTAACGACTCCATTGACAATGACACTGATGATGAATGGTGTGAAGTAACTGAACGACCATCATGATCAGGTGTTATGGATATATTATTACAAGAACCTGACATCACTCAAGATGGTGATAAAATAATCAGTTTTGCACCAGGAGAAGGAAATAGACCACTTGGTATATTTATAGATAAAGATGCTGAATTTCTGTCTTTCCCTACCATTTACTGTGGCAAACGTCAAGCTGATAACAGTGAAAGACTTGTGCCTGTTCACTATAGTACAATTTGTAAATGGGAATTACGAAGTCGAGATCGAAGAGTTGCTCAATCTGTGCCAAACATTTTTTATAAATTAAAAAAATTACAGATCAGACAAATCCAAGGAAGTGCAAGTTTATCGTTGCGTAAATGTAAAACCAAAGGTAAAACGTACACAGCAGGGGATTTGAAGTCTGAAAGTTCTGTTAATAAGCTAATCAATTTAGATGAAGGATTCAGAGTTTTACGAAATTTACGCGGTTCCCCTCCATACTTTGAAAGATGTAAGAAGGATCTATTTGCAATGATTCGTCAGCTTGGTAAACCTACATGGTTCTGTTCATTTTCAGCTGCTGAAACGCGTTGGATTCATTTGATTAAAATTCTTGGTCGTCTTATTGACAACAAACACTATACTGACGACGAGGTTAAGCAAATGACTTGGCAAAAGAAGTCTGAACTGATACAGAAAGATCCAGTAACATGTGCTCGAAATTTTGAACATATGGTGCAACAATTTATTCACAATTTTATTAAAAGTTCATGCCATCCAATTGGAGAAGTTGTTGACTTTTTCTATCGTGTTGAATTCCAGCAAAGAGGTTCTCCACATATCCATGGATTATTCTGGACAAAAAATGCACCTGAGTATGGTAAAGATTTCGACGAAGATATTACCAATTTCGTAGATAGCTACGTTTCATGTAAAGCTGACTCAGATGATTTAACTGAACTCGTAAATTTACAAAGGCACAAACACTCTAAAACATGCAAGAAAAGAGGAAATGCTGTTTGCAGATTTAACTTTCCTTTACCGCCAATGCCGAGAACTATGATTTTAGAGCCTTTGTCTGAGACTGATCTAGACGAAAATGTTGCAGATATAGTAAAGAAAGCTTTAGGACAGATACGTTCATTATTAG